ATATTGTTGAGGGAAAATAATAAAAAATATGGAAATGATATAAAAAATGTTGAACGATGTTTCGATATTATTACGAAGGATGGAAAGAGATTTATGTTGAATCCCATGAGATTGAATGATTCAAACTGGATGTTATCGTGCTTGGAAAATTATCTGGGATTAAATAAATAGTTGGATTATTTGTGTATATAAATACACGAATAATAAAATGTAGTTAAATTATTTCTTTATATGGGTATACGAAAAATAAAAATAGACTCTATTAAATAATATCTGATTGTACTTTAACAATAATAAAGGAAAATAGTGACTTTTAATTAGTACATAAAAAATACCCAAAGTTATCCCAACATTTATTTATTTTATTAATTATAAAGAATTTTGTAATTCCTTCAGGTGTGAAAATAAAGGTGCAAATATTTCAATGGAACATCGTATGTTTTGGTTTTCCAAGCTAAAAGACTTGTTTTCCAAACAGGCTATAATACTTCAAAAAATAAAGTAAGGCTTTTCGTTATTTGCTATTTCATTAAATCACGCTTAAGTAAACTTATAATAATTCAATTATTGTACAGAGATGAAAACGTTTTAAAAGATTGGAGACGGGATAAAAGAAGTTACAGTAAAGCTATGGAAAAAGCGATAAAAAGAAACGAAGGTATAATAACAAAGTGTATTACATTTACCTCATTATTAAATAAAATGTTTATTTAATAGATGATATTCCGTTTGGATTCGATTTCGAAGATTATGCTTCCGTATTTAAACACAATTCCAAACTGGTGAGATTTTTAATATTTAGCTTTTTTAACTGTCTTAAAAAGCTTTACAAAAATTTCACTGTGCATGCGACAATTTAAATTACAGAAAAATTTGGGATCAAGGAAAAAAGGCAAAGAAAAATTCATACCACCAGCGTAAGTGACAAATTTTTAACAGTTCGACTTAAAATATTTGTACAATAAAAAATGTATAAAATTTTAACATTTATTACTTGCAGAGACATTAACAGAAAAATTAATGAACTATTAGAATCTTTAAACAAACTTGAAATAAATACTACAAACGAAGCAACTCCAAGAACGAAACAAAATTTGTTCAAAGATGAAATAGAAAAGGTGCTTGATGCTCATTTTTTCCATACGGAAAAAAAGTAAATGTTGTAAATGGTACTAATCTCATGCATTTTCCTTGAAATTCTAGGTATTACAATTCCAAAGTGAAATTCAATATTTGCGAAAATACAACGACGTCGCAATGATACCATTGAAAAATTAAAAGATTGCTATGATTTCGGTAAAATCATCGATCACGTTCCAACAAGATCGATGTTGATTTCGACTACACCAAGAATATCAGTCTTGACATGTTTATTTAAATAAATCAGTAGTAATCACATATCGTTTCAGTAGTGTTAATTACACATACGTTGCTTACAAATACACGACGAGACAACTGGAAATATTATTGTACGCACATTTTTTGCATCGTCTAAAGAACATCAAAAAGAGAGGGACGTATTAAAAGAATGTATACACATATATATTAAGATTACGGTATAGAAAAATCGTAATCTTGAGAAATGATTCCTATTTAACAGAGTATCGACTATAAACACGCGTATCAATGTAGATTTTGTGTGATAAAAAAGCGCACGTGGTCGTAAATGAATTACAAAGTAACTCTGTGTGAAAATAAATAAAAAAGCAATAAAAATACAAATGACTTTTCTCTTTTTTTACTTTCCAGTCTTCTCGTCAACATAATCCTTTTTCACGTTTCTATCGTTTGACCGTCGCGAAAACGTACAGCGAGTATAAAAATCCTACAAAGTGATGATATCCGAATTAAAATAGATTTCATAGTTGCGTGAACGATTTTCGCGGCGATCCAACCATCAATCTTTCTTCATTTTTGTACATGGCACCGCATCTCAAATCCTAGTACGATTCTTGTCTCTTGATCAGGTTCGAAAAATCACCTCACATCGTGATACAACTATTTCGTAGTAGTACTATAATCAATAGTAATTATAAGGCAATTATCTAAGATCTCCATATTTATTTGAATTCTTTTCTCTCGGTATGTGTGTGTGTCTATTCATGTGTGTGTTTTTCTTATTCGTTAATTACTTTCTATCTTGACTCTGTACATTTGATACACTGACGCATACAACGCGGTACGAACAACTAGCTTGTTAGTACCTAACCTAACTAGCAATGTAACGGTTTAACTGTTACTACGAAGTTATGTTAGTGTTGCATACATTTTATCTGTTTTATCTGTTTGTAGTGTTGAAACCTATTACCGTAAAACAAACAATTGTATAAAACATAATATACATGTTATTCGTAGTAATAAAATTAGAGTAGAAATCGCTAGCTGTTTTCTGGTACGTACCAGCGTTAATAAAATAATCAATATTTTCTAAACAATTCTATATTACATTCCGTGATGATACGTACAAATTGATCGGCGTGGACGTATCACGACGATAGAGCCAATTAAGAATCGCTAATAATACCGATATTTTTGTGTGATCAAGAGCAACGTGTTAATTAGGACGATAGGCTAAACATAAAAAGGCCTTACAATAGGCTATTTAATTTCGATTATGTACACATTTCAAAGAGAACATTTTTTTTATACTCGGCAGTACAGTACCTATGAATTAGATGGTTTTTTTTACAAACGCGGACTCAACGTTTAAAACTAGACCTTGTGTTCATTGCGTTCTTTTTCTCTTCATACTGTGTCAGCAAAAAGTGTCTCGAACGGACGAAGTTTTCCCTCTCCCCTTTGTATTGCGGTTACTTTCGTCGTTTATGCTTGTGCTCTTTTTCGATAAGAAAATATCTTTCGATGGGTTAAAAAGCTTCGACTAATTCATTAATTGAACACACATACTGGCATTTTCCTGCTTTCACCGTACATCATTCAAACACGTTATATACAACCGTCGATTTTTAAGAAAATTTCCTATTAACATACATACCGGATATACTGAAATCCCATAGCATTTTACAGACAAACACAAGTATTCCTAAAATTAAGAAATTCTTCGTTTCTGTCAGTTTCTTGCTCTATTTAACCTTTACTATTGCACGTTTTGCACTTCCGCATTCTTTTCGCTCTCAACATCACTGCAACTTAATTCATACCGTATACATATACATCGTATGCGTATATATATCGTTAAACACATCTGAGTGATTTCTTTTTTTTTCTTTTTTGTTTACGGTTTAAGGAGGCAGACATCTTATAGGACAGTTTTTAGAAAGAAAGTATGGGTCATCAATGATTGTGTAATGTAAAACCTGCCTGTTTTTTCTTCTTCTCTATTCGCTGAATAATATTAATTTCTTCGATGAATTCGATCCTCTGTCAGTTGCACGAAAAACATACGACAGACAGAAAGCTTTCACCGGACTGTTTTAGAAATAAATATGCTTCTACGCTATCCGAAATTTTACTTCTAAAGTGTAGAAGCCTTCTTCGAAGATGGTCCAAGCAGATACACTTTATTCACAAATATCACTGGCGTACTAACTCTTTGTTAGAAACTTCTACACATAGTTTTGATTCCGGGAAGTTCTTCATGCGCTAGATTTAAGTCGACGAAGCCTAATTTACTGTAAAACTCGTGGGCTTCCTTGTCTGTGTTCGACATCGTAGTGTGTACACCGAAAGAACCTGAATAAAAATTTTTTTAACATACAAATTATTTTCCCCTAATTGATTTTCAAAAATTTCAAAATTATATCTAAAAGTATGCACCATTTGCTCTTAAAGCTGCGAGGATACACGTAATTAATCTTTTAGGAACAGATTGGTCGGTGACGCTTGGCAATATAGCACACAACAGCTTTGATGGATGTTGCCTACACAATTGTTCTGACACTTCAGGAACAAACGAGTGGAAATACTGTATGGCATCCTAAAAACGAATCAACAAATTACATATGCAAATATTTGAGCAATTATTAGAGATCAGTTAGAAATAAATACTTGAACATCTTGCGGTAATTCATTGATATTGTCTTCCAATGCATATTTCATCCTCAACTCGGGAATCCAAGACACAGCTAATTTCTGATTATAAGACTTTACATTTAAGGCAGCCAATGCGTAACCTACTATACCACTTTCATCTTCAACAACCATACACAGTTCTGGGCTCAATGTTAAGAAACCTCCAACAAATCTGTAATTGAAAATTCAGTATCGAAAATTATCTATATTGACAATGCATTTATTTTTTATTTTCCTACTTAGTTATATTTTTCTTACCGATCTGCCACTGCAGACGATGTCACACAGCCGGAAATCTTATTGTACACAGCATAAACAGAATCTTCGTCGCTTACTAAGTAAGGCCTTATTGTATAGATTTTACTACTGGGCACTTCTGGTGCTTTGTAAACGAACAAGTCATTACCACTGTCCACTGGAATTAATCTCTGCAAAATGATAATTTTATGCTCGTCTTTCTTCTTTGTTTTTCCAGTAATTAAAAATAAAACGCACCTGTAGATCAGCTGTAAGTCCTCCACGGAATACCCATGGTTCTTGATCTCCACTCATAAAAGTTTCTTTCCAGCCATTCGAGAACCCTATCCCAAGACATAGTATACGGCCTTAATAAAGTAGTGAAATACGAAGGTTTGTGTACGCGCGATTATGCAGTTTGTAAAATTTATGAAATGGCTTCCACTGCTCTGAACACTAATTTTGCATAAAATTTGTAACATGCATAAATAAACTTCGATCAATGGCGCTTTAAGTTTCCTTATCTCGACTGTACTATCGTTTCTTTTGCATTGCTTAGAAAGTCGAGTGAATCATATTGTGAGATAAAGAAATCCATTAATCGAACAGAAACTACGGTGCATCATTTCGTTGACGAATAAAATCATATTTAACTAGATCGCTGTGTACTATTCATATGTGTACTGAATAATTGAGAATAAAAAGTAAGAAGAAATTCATAAAATACTCTGAGAAAGAAGTTTCGTTAAAGGCTGATTAATTTGTCAACGTTAAAAGATTATGTAATGATATTTTAAATTCAAACCAATTATAGCAAAAGTAAAATGTAACAACAGAAATTGATTTTTAAAGAATGTTGCACCAAAGTTCGCGCAATGATAATTTCCTGAGTTAATGGAAAGGAAGATGGGATTGGTGGAATGGTAAGTCCAGTTTGCCAAAATGCGCCTGAAATAAAACTCCTATTACTCCTGAAAAGAATACAGTTTCTGGAACTAAAAGAAATTAGTACAGGCAAGTTGGCAAAAGGAGGATATTCTACTGGTCATTCACAATTCATGAAAGGAGCCTTCAATGATTCATCCTTGTAAATAATAAATACCTTAAGAAACATTAAGAAATAAAAAAAATATAGAAGATACAACTTTCTTTGGTTGTGTTTAACCAGTATAGTACTCAGGAAAAGTTCTGAACATTTTATAAAATTGTCCTAACGTTGCCAATTTTGTAAAAATTTTAAATGGACTTACTTTGCATGCAAAAATTTTTACCATAGAGAATACATTGAAATGCTACTTTCAGAAATACAATGAAATTCGACTGAATACAATTGTAAAGTACGTCCAAATCACGTATATCTTTAGAGAACAATTAATTTAGAAATAAACTGTACTTAAATGATTAAACCAAATACAGCTATAAAGATAAATTCTGAAAAACAAAAAAGAAATCAAGTTAAACGATATATACAGGAAGAAAGAGTTTCAATGCGCGTTTCTTGAGAATTTTTGCAAAATAAAAAAGTATGTCCATCTTGTACCAAACTATATTAAGTACTAGAGGTATTTGTGTTGAATACGTATAGATCCTTCGAGACATCAGAACGCTGCTTCTACGCGCAAATTTCTTGCTTACATTAATTATAATAATAATGGTTCTTTTACAAAGCTTCAAACACAAACAAAAATTCTGTCATAGTTTTCGCCTAGTTTGAAGCTTTGCTAGTCGCGCGCTTATTGTTGGATTACTCAGAATGGTGAATCGCATACATGTGTAGCTTCCCTGGGTAAACGTTGTCATCGACGACGGGTATCTGCCAAACGCTATCAACAAGACAAAAAACACAGAAATGCACGTTAGTCAGTGAATTAAAGCTGTACTGTTCCTCATACACTTATACTGCTGGCAGAAATTATTCACTGCAAGCTTGACCTTCCTTGCATCGTTCTCCTTCTCTAGCTACATTGGTACATTAAAACATAGCAATTATAAACTTGTGAAGTATCAATGCAACGAATACATTTCTGCCAAACATTATCTGTGAAAGAAAGTCAGCCAATATGTTAATAGCTGGCACAAGGTTATTTAAAACACAGTATTTGTTCAGGTCCACATTGATGCTGTTAAATAGTTTCCCAGAAAGTGTTTGCTATAGAAAATCCTTCCGCCGAATATTGGGCTAGAAAGCCACATCAATTCCCTTTGTTCTCATGACTTATTTTACCTTGATAATAATATAGTAACACGTGTACAATTTGTTCAAAGATGAAATAAAATTATCAGAGGATATTATCAAGGAAAAAATGAGAAATGCTGTGGCATTCCTTATTCACTAACAGAACCATAAATAGGAAGCCGTTAGTCGACAAATAAGAAAATCATTTCATAAAAGTCTGTATGCAGTTGAAAGTAAAAAAAAGTTTACCCATATTTGTTTTAAATGCTGAATAACTTAAGTTTGTGTTTCAGTTTTGTATACAGGATAATGTTTAGTGCAACTGTATAATGCAGTTATGGTTTGTATTTCTAGAAGATATGGTTGTATCAAGTAAAAAGAGTAAGATTAATTTATACTTTTAAATTGTTCTGATTTTGACTCACGGCAACCTTGTTTGTTCGTTTACGCGCGCCTTACAGTACATTTGGTTCTAAAGCGCAGAAACAAATGTACAAATGCAATTTCACAAATATGCGATCTATGAAATATTTCGACTCCAATCGCTACCGATGTACGTTCAGATCCTGATTGTTCAAAAAGTAATCAAATTATCGAGATCATTTTTTTTGTAAAGAAATTAGTGTATTCTTTGAACTAATTTCTTTGAAAATTATTTTTAAATTCATTTTAATTGTTCCATTGTAACATGATTTTTACCATTTAGAAAATACATATAATTAATTTGTCATTCGTAAAACATTTGTTCTTAATTAAAGGCAATCAAAATTTATTTTCATTTTCTAACGGTTATATTTATAGATAATAAATAATTTCGATTAATTTGAAAACAGATTACTGAAACACCGGTAACTTATGGAATCAGTTGTTTATGTTTTTTGCGTGTTTTATGATTGTATAAATAATGTCATTTTACAAGGAAGCGTAGTGTGATATATAACGTAAACTGTTAAAAGATTTTGTAAATATACTCTGGAACAGTAAGATTGGAGTAATGTTTAAATAAACATGTGAAAGAAACATCTTTTAGTGTATTAAAGGTAGTTCCAAAATTCTACGAAATTATACACCTTTATTAGTTGCAAAAATCATAGTTTAATTGATAAAAAAGAACACATCTTTCTTGTAAAAGGACAGAATAAGTGAGTTAAAAAAAACAGATAGAACATTACACTTACCAATACTCGTGACACTTTTGTTCTGAAATATAAGTATAGGTAATAAATTATAATACTTTTGAGAAAAATTACTAACAGCACTCATCTGTAGCACAACAAATACAATTTTCTACTAGTCGCGATATAATATGAAAATTAAATAGAAAATAAAACTTAGCAGCATTTTGTATGTTTTGTAAATTTGTACTGCTGTGAATAAGGTATTTTTTGTTTCAATCATTGTACCAGCATACTAGCATTTTGAATGAACTTTCTTTGTACATTTTTTAATATTATTATTTTTATAATGTTACCATTAAAAGAATGAGTGATGGAAGGATTAAGAAATATTTAGATGGTATTAAAAGTGAGATATCAATTCAAATATTTTTTGTATAACGAGATACTGATGAATATCTATAATTTACTATTAGAGATAAAATACAACTTACCCAACCATTTCACGTAACTATTTAAGAGGGACACAACTCCTCGCATGTCCCAGACATACGAATACAGGTCATATAGCAACTCACGATTATTACAATATGTAAGTCGCTGAAATAATCTGTTTACTGCATTGCACATATCATTTAATTTAGCTGCCCGTGCGTGCCATTCTTCGATCTAAAATTTTGATTAAAATGTTATTTATATGCACAATATATTTCCGATATGTTAATTAAAAAAACCACGGACATCAGACTGAGACACATTTTCGTCCTCTTTCGATTTTCTCATGACGACGTGGGCATTACTTTTCAGCCAATTAAACTCTTGTAATAGTTGAATGCCTTGACCACCATGTTCAAATGGTAAATAAAAAAGATCACATAATAATGATAGATCCTCTTGCGTCAGTCGCTTATCAGCTTCGATCGATTCTTGATCCGCATTATCACCGCTATCATTTTCAACTATCATTTGAGTGCCATTTACTACAGGAGAAGTGCCATCTACTTCTACTTGCATGCTGCCAGAGGTTTCGCTACACGTCTGTAAAACAAAATAAAAAATTTGCGTAAATTTCACAAATTTCTTTACATCCAGAATTTGAGAAGACTTACAGAAGTATTCTCTACCATAGCATCATCCTCTGAATGAATTTTGACTGCATGTGCTGGGGAATTATTAGGTGTTGTGTTACAATCCATTGGTTCCATGGATGACAAAGCATTCGAACTCGGTACACTTTCTACGTTAGTAGAAATTGATGGAATAATAGATTCACTAACAACAGTTGTATCAGACACCAAGGAATTCATGATAGGACCAGCTGAAGGCTGTACATAACTCTCAGTAGTCGTGACGGTTGAGCAAACTTCAGCTAATGCTTGAAGATGATTCGAAGTGCTCACTGGTGTAGGTGTCGCCGGAACGGAGGTTGTCGTTGTCGTCGACGTAAGACTCATACATGTATTTACAGAGGGAATTATTGGAATCGGTACTGTTGGAGCAACGCATGGTTGTGGTTTTGCTATAACACCCCATGCATTTCGCTTTTTGTCAAATTCCATTAACCAGTCCATTATCGCATTTTTCAAAGCGTGTCGAGGATGATATATATTTGGAGACATTGTTGAAGGAACATCTTCTCCAAGTACACCATCTTCTGTTTCAGTTTCTAATTTTATATCAGCCGATACAGTATCATCTACAAAGCCACAAGAAAAACATTAAAATAATGTCAATTTAATACACTGTGTAATCAGAAATAAATAAATACATACTTAAACTTAAGTCCCTTTTCCCATCAACATTACACCTGCTCCATTGAGCCAGTGTATGAATTGCTATAAAATTTGCTCCATATTCACAGTTGGGATTGGTTAAAACACCTCTTAACTTAGGGATTAGATCAGGAGATCTACCAGAATACGGTCCTAAGAATACTCTTTTTTGATCATAATCATTGGCATGCAGATTATCCCATATGACCGGTGGCCTTCTTAAAACTTCTGTAATCTCCTCAATAGACTCTACAGTTAAAAGTCTGGATATTACTTTAGGACCAGTCCACATTATATCAATTTCTTGAGCTAATTTAATGCCTAGTGTGTTAAGATACTCTGAGGATGATACATTTGGCATTGCCCGAGTTGCACAATATTGTGTTGGGCACAATAAGAATCGGGGTTGACCAAGATGTTGGAAAATGTCATTTGTAACAGAAACCTATTCATACATTATTAATATTACATACAAATAAATTATTGTACAATTAACATATTAATGAAGCTATTTAAAACTCACTTGTGCATGAGCAAAGGACTGGAATACTTCTTTATCAGCTTCACTCATTTCTGGTTCTATATCATCAAATAACAAAGCAAATGCAGTGCAACCAAACTGGCTAACTTGTTCTAATTTTCTTTTTAATATTGTAACTTCCTTTGCACTTGAATAAGTGATATCCAAGCCTGGTGACAATGCATAATAAAATGTAATGCCACATTCTCTAGCAGCTGTTATCAACCCTGTTAAATGTTCAGCTTCTTCTACAGTATACAAATCTCTCCAATATGCACGGTGCTTGTAATCATCTTTTGGAGCATACAAATATGAATCCATTCCCCATTTTTTTAATCTGCAAATTATTAAGTGAAAGAGTTTGCAATCATGTCTTTAACACTGCATGCTATCTAACTAGAATTAACGTAAAATACTTACTTTTGAAATAAATCCTTCCTTTGTTCTGTGGTCCAAGGCCTTCCGTAAAATCCTAAAATAACAAAATGTATTTTTTATGCGAACAATTCGAACTACTGTAGTAAATAGCGCATTCCAATCATTCCCCCTCCTACGTACAACTATCACAAACGATGACTAAATACGTGAATTTCATGCCGCTTAGCGACCGTTTACGTACCTTCGACGACGCCGCAGATAAAATTGCCGTTTTTCGTATTTAAATTTGCGGCCCCATTTGTCCCCGCCATTGCGGATCGCAAGAGGCACGTTTGTTTAGTATCGGACTACAAAAATGGCTAAAGGAGTTCTCGGGTGCAAAAATGCCGTCGTTTCTTGAAAGAACGCAAAGAGAGACGGACGTAAATGCTATCTTTCTTGGAACACGACTCTGTTGCGCGATCGTCACGACAGCATTACTCGTTTTCTTGAGAAGAAAAAAAATTTGCTCGGAATAGTGCAATTCCGATAGAACGAAACCCTGTCTCTTGTATTTCTGACAGACTGCACCCACTGTCCTGATCGATACTGAACGATCTCTCGATCCATCAACTCTACACAGAACGATTAACGGAAAGCTCTTGCGGCGACTTCACTTTGTATGTATTTCAATTAGGTCATCCACCTTCATATTGCGCATAACTTCAATTTGATGACTTTACGCGGCAATTATAAATCTGTTAAAACAAGATAGTTTAAAAAAAAATATTTTATACTTTATTATTTTCTGCAACACCATTGTACAGTTAATATATCGCGAGTACTTGAATAAATTTTTAAATAAAATAAATTTTTAACTGGTTATTTTCCGTACGTTCTACTGGATTGTGGCGACATCTGAAACTTGAATCGAGGATACGCTTTCGAACGCGAGTGCAGTCAATATCGTGTGATGAAATTTTTTGAAAGAAATATCGGTTCCACTGCTTACCGGACTTATTATAGTGTGTGAATGTGGGTTAATTAAATGGTAAAACGTTCTGAAATAGTAAAAATGTCATTTTGCTCCCACCTTTAATCGATAAAACACTGTTCTTTAAAAATAATCTTGGACTATGATCGAACAGTAATTTACAGCTTCACATGATAATTACACATTTTTGAAAAAATATTTATAAGAAAATAGAGGCTAAAGGTTAGATTAAACGTTTTTTATTAATTGAGATAACATTTTTTGTTACAGATGGAAAATATGAATGCTAAAGTACAAAAGGAAGTTCTGGCGCGCATAAAAAGATGTCGTGACGAATACTCTACATAATAGCGATCGAACTGTTTCATCCATCTTCGTGATTTCAAAATTAACAAGAATATAAACGTTAAAACAAGGTAAGTTACTCGAAAACTACTTTTTTGCGGGCTCAGTATTTCCATTTTCTGATATATATTATTCTTTCACGTTTCTATTAAATGAGATAACATATATTAGACGTAATACAATTTTCTCATGTCTTCTACATAGTTTGAATTTTTTTTTAACGTTCATTAATATAAACGTATAAGAAACATATAAACTTATTTTTCGTTAGGCAATTGTCTACGGATAAAAGAACTATAGACCGATAATAAACGATGTATTTTAATATCTTATATCTTATGGTGCGAAATTTATTTCGTTCCGATTAAATCATTCATCGGTATCGGACATAGGTTCAATAGTACCAACACGAAAAAGCCGTGTATCGATTGTGAAATAAAACTTGAAAAAGAACGAACGAAATCCGCCCTATATATTCATACTAATTTTATCAGCGGCATCGATTAAACGTAGTCAACGTATATGTGATTTCGGTATCGTATAACCTCAGTGTTAGTTAGTGCCGCAGGAAACGCCACATAAAGCATAGTCCTGCAATACTAGTTTACACACGCAACCAACGTTCAAACACATAGCTTCAAACGGAACATTACTAACGAAGTTCTACCAGAGGAAGGTTAATTGAATAAAACTGCAGTCAAAAGACATACTTCAGCAAGCTACCATTTAAATGGTACATTTTATTTTTTTTTATAGGTTATTATAAATTAAACGCAAGCGCTTGTTACTCATACTTTTTTTTTTATCAAAGGAATATAAGAAACGACTGTTAAAACAATGTAACAATTATAAATTTCCAAATTTATTCATTCTTTATTATTTCGTTTCGTGTATGCTGGTATCGATACAAAAATGGCGTACAACGTTCGATATTTCCCGAACCGATCTGTCGAATAGAATCGCATGTTGCTATCGAATGTGATCTTCCGACAATGTAACAAACCGACAAGGAATATTTCGAAGATACATCCATTTCTTTACTAGAATACGAAATTGTGAACGTGAAATAGACTATAATGCGACCATATGAGATAAATACATCAGAAACTTGTGCATATATGTATTTTTCGTTAACCGTTTGAGCGAAAAACATTGTCCGCATAACAAGAGCAACCCGTTCGAATCGAGTGGAATCGTCGGGGGATCGCATTCGAATTATTCGATTGGAATGTCGACGGTATTCTGTCGTGGAAAAAAATGTCAGGCGGTACGAAACATTGCTACGATTCCGTCCGAAAAACGTTAGGTTCGGCAGTGGACGCGTGCGCGTTGCCTCGTGAATCGAAGGGCCGACAAATCGTTTGACGGGTGCGCCACCGGGAGGCGCTGGGTTCGGTTCTCGAAAGAGGGGTGTAGTTTTTTTGTCGAGGGTTGTCGGTGGGGGTGACGAAGGGGCGGGTATGGCCCGTGGTCGTAACGACAGAGCCGTATCAGTGTGAGGCCGGCTATCAGCCGCCTAACATCGAGGTCGGGGTTACGCTTGTACACGTAACACGGCTGCCGCAGGCACCCCCACACACACACACTTGCGACACCCGTGCACGGATTCTTGCGGATTCTCTAGTCGTAGGCCAGGCGAGCAGAGGGATCTGCGAACTGTTCACGCGGGGAATCCTTCACGGCCGTCGACGGGTGGGCAGCCTTTCTCCATGCAGTATGCGTCGTAATCGATAAGGACGAGAGAGCGGGGCGCGCGTATGGGGATCGTCTTAAAGGAAACGTCGCGCCCTTCGAATATGTCGAAATGAATGAAAGTCGCGAAAAAGAGAGCGAGAGAGAAAGAGAGAAAGAGAGAGAAACAGAGAGTGACGGAGTGTGTGTCGCGAAGGACTGGGCGAGGTGAGCGCGAGCGTGTGTGACAGAGAGAGAGAGAGAAAGTGTGCGTGTGTGTGTGTGTGTGTGAGAGTGAGAGAGGGAAACGTAAGGAATCGTGGGTACCGAGGTTAATAGAAAATCGTGACTATAGGCGGACGGTGAGCGGGTGGGGGGAGGAAGGGAGAAGGATTCCAAAGTCGAAGATATCTCTCGCGCGCGTGTGTCTAATAGGAAGAGACATGATCTCGTAACGGCTACGACATTCTAACCGTGGTTATGGTGTTGTTCGATTCTTCGTAACGAGTTCTTTGTTTTCGTTTGACAGTCGCAGCAGGATCGACGGTGCGCCACACGTCGAAACGAACAACCGGTCCCCCCCCGCTCCCTGGAACATTGCAGTGTGGACAGCACACGGTAGACAGTACGGAAGAGAGAAAGAGAAAGATACAGAGAGAGAGAGACAGACAGGGAAAGGGTGAAGGAGAGCTGGTAGTGTCTACGGGGGTAAGGAAACTGTGAAACGTAAACGGGTCACGCGAACTAGCCGTGTTATCGGTGTCTCGTGCTTCGAGGGGGAAGTATCGAGATATATTGGCGGTGAGTGCGGTATCGAGAGTAATTAAGCAGTCGCGGGATTACTCGATAATAATGGCTGGTCGTGATTGACCGAGGGAGAGAGAGAGAGACAGAGATAGAGAGAACGACAAGGGAGACCGTGTGTGTGGCTACTGGTGTACACTGGCTACATCTATCCAAGTAACGCGACAGGACGTCGAAGGAAGAGGGAGGGGGTGGCAGTGAAAGACAAAAAGAATAGAGAGCAAGGAGCATCAGGGAGGGCCGACGGTTAAAAGCGGCGGCGGGATCGTAATCGAAGAAAATCAGATGTCGTTAGCGGCCGTTGACAGAACCCGGAACGGATATATCGACGGAGTGGCGGTTCAGTGAGAAGAACACAGTCAAGAAACGAAGTGACGAAGTCGGTTTTGCCGGTGGTTCTCTTCGAACGTCGATTTGCCCTCCATCGTGTAGGAGGTGAGTCGATGGGCTTGCGAGGAGCACGGCCGGTTCGAGTCGAAGCGTGCCAGCGAGGAGCGGAGGAGTACGGCTCGAGGCGGGCAGATGATTTTCGATCGATTGACGGTCGCACGGCATCGAGACTATCGCGCCACCGAGCTCCGTTACGTGTGTAGGCTGCCATGCCGTCGAACGGCCGTCGGCGATGCGCACCGACGTTCAGTGACGACGACGACACTTAGCTGAGATGTGTCATTTTTGACAGGATCAAGAGGGGCAGAAGAACAACGGTCGCCACGACATCTGGATCTTTTTAAACAAAAAAAAAAGCGATGCTCGGACACATTATCGACGAAACGAGACTGAGCATACGGTGATTACCAGTCGCTAGACAAAGATAGATAGAAGTGTGTTAGAGTGAAGAGCAAGAGAGAAACAAAAAGAAGACAGTGAAGAAGAGGGAGAGAGAGAGAGAGAGAGTGAGAGAGAAAGAGAGGATGGCAGCTGGATACTCGCGTGTGGACCTGTCGAACGTGAAGAATCGGGTTGTCGCGACGGAACGTAGGAAGCAGCAGGAACGAAGTGAGGCGAGGCGAAGCACGCGACCGCAGTAATCCGTTTCCCGCGACTCGTAGCCGTGTCTCGTTTCTGAGGGACGCCCCCGGTGGACGTCGTTTTTATGTGTCCTCCTCGTCAGAGCGGCGACGAGCGAGAGGATTCGGCACATTGCCCGTCGGCCGCACGTGCGCATTGATGGTCGATAGTGAAACTCCTTCCAGAGGCAGATAGACGCGGAATTAATCCCGTGCTTTCTCTCGTGTTGAGTTTTTCGTGTGGAACAGGTGAGAGAGACGGCAGCTGTCACGCATCCACTCTAGTCGAACGAACACGCGTAATCCGTCCTAGTACGAATATTTAAACAAAGTCTAGAAGAGAAAAAGCGAAGCAAAAGAAGAAGAAGAAGAGGAATAATACTATATTATATCTTCTACTAAGAAGAAGTGTGACGTGTGTTGGAGAGCACTTCGGAAGAATTTAGGAACCGTGTACAACGGCCAACCATCGTGTTCCAAGCAGAATAATCGGTGACTAGTCGTACCAATCGTGTGCAGCGTGTCGAGAGGGAGAGGAGAACGGGAGAAGGGCATGCTTGGTATACGAGGCGGTGTGATCGTTTTCGTGAGAGAGCAACAGTAACAGCCAGCAGCAGCAGCAGCACATGCTACGGGGATCCGTATCAATTCGCGACTGTGATTTCTAAGCTTAAGGTTTAAACAAATATTAAGAAGAAGGGGAAGAGAGAGAGAGAGAGAGACAGTTGGAGAAAAGA